GTACAATGTTTCGGATAATCAACTTATTACTTGAATTATAACAGCAATTGTCCCATGCACCAAGCATGCACACTCTGTTTACCTATGGTCCATACTTTGTGAAATAGATCAATTGAAAACATTTTCAATGATGCTCATTTCACAATCCTTAATCCTTATCATTAGTGTAAGAATACCAATTCTTGCCACTATTGGAATATGTTAGATTCTTACAGTTTATGCAATTATCCTTTTTGTAATCTTATTGCACAAAAGTCACCAAGACAATGACAATGAAATTACAAAGTTCTCTATTGGAGATTGTTACAAGACAATTTCATAGATGTGAAGTCTCACATTCAAAGTACATTCCTTTGAACATCCTTCTTGAATAAAAGTTTCTAATCATAGATTTTTACAAGACAATTCCATAGATGTGAAGTCTTACTGATCAATGAACGTTCACTGATTAAGGTGATTTGCCTTATGCAAACAATTAAGAACTCAGAGAACTGACATGCATAGTCAACTTTAACTGGGAATGGCATAGAAACAAGAATATGTCAACACGACAGGTTACAAACCTTAAGTTGTGTGCTAGTGATAAGCAATAGTTTTATTCTTGATTTGTTCTTGAAACTTTTCAAGGTATTTAAGACTCCCACTAACCCCTTGACATATAAGACTCTCTTTGTCAAGAAACATTACTTGACAAACAAATATTCAAGAGTTAGTGCGGTTTCTTATCAAGACAAACACTTCTGACAATCGGTTTTAGTTGATCTTTGTTTTATCCAAAACATTACAACTTACCAATTTCAAATGTACAAGAGCTGAAAACATTTTACTCTACATTTGATAAGTGTTATAAACCTTTCTTAAGATTATGTCACTCAAGGCACAATCTTGGAGTATGACTCTAAGACTTGATTTTGAAATGAAGTATGACTCTCCTTAATTGATTTAACCATTTCAACAATTCCCGATACCTCTTTTTAGCCATGCAAATGCACTAAGGTGCCCTTAGAGTATAAATTGTGATATGGTTTTCATAATCATTAAGATGATCATAAAACACGATACTAAAGTACTCTCCTTTCCTTTCAGATTGGAGAAACTTTTATCTTTCTGCCTAATTGATTCTTCTTATTCGATCTACTATACATTGAAACTTTTCCAATGATGCAGAATTATACTTAATCTTGTAAGCATAACCATATTTATTAAACTTTATTAAATCATGACGAATAGTCTTATCGTTCTTTGTGGTGGACCTGACCAGCGCACAACCAAGTGTACCTGATCCCCTAGTCCTTCACTTGACTCACATACATATGTGGACAAGGAATTGGTCTTAATTTACCAAAGACGAAGGTTCTCATTCATCATACAATACAAGTTGCATGATTCCAAGTTTCTATCCAATTGAAACTTGGGTGATGAGAATCTTTCCTTATTTGGTAAATTATGATACTACCACAAACGAAAGAATCAAATCCATTTTCAATATTGCTAACAATATATAAACACCAATTTTCACAAATGTCATTGCAAGGAAATATAAAACAAGATAAAATTCAAAATTTTATTTATTTATAAAAATTCGGAAAAACTTTTCCTTACAATTATGAAAACTATGTTTCCTAAGCAATCTATCACAACTCTTAGCATCAGCTCAAAAATCCGATCATCGAACCATGCGATTGAAATCCATCTCTTCGCGATCAGACTCAGCATGCTTTTCCTTTAAGCTTCCTTTGATCCTACAAAACATCAAAATGTAATATTATCACATTATGTATTAAGAATCTACAAATAGTAACTTAGTAGAGTTAGATAGTTGACATACCTAAAGCAGAGTCATACATTTTGACTTTACCATCTTTGTAGTCCTTCAGGTAGATACGGCAGCTTCGCAACCAATGCCCCTTCTCTTGGCAATAGAAACAACCAGATTCTTTTGGAATGGTACACGGTACAATATTAGACTTAGCCTTTCTCTTTCCCTTGGAAAGAGAAATCTTTTCTGGACTTCCAATGTTTCCATTGTCAATGTCCATGGAAGTTTGGAAAGTAGATCTTCCAATCAAATTTGCATTACCAGTGCGCCAAATTATTGTTGATTCAGCAGCAATTAGCAAATATCTAAGATTGATAAGGGACATGTCGCGGTCTATCATATAGTAATATTTAATGAACTCACCATATGACTCAGGAAGTGATTGAATAACCCAGTCAACAGCAACTTCCTCGAGACAACGACTCCTAACATTCCCAATCTGTCAATATGTTGCTTCATGTCTAAGACGTGAGCACTATGGACTTTCCATCTTGGTGTTTGCTAGCCAATAGGGCTTGAGTGACCTTGAACTTTTCAAGTCTATGAACATGTGGGTTAGGGAGAATAATTGGAGGAGGTGGAGGAAGTGAAGTATGTTTTCCATTTCCACGATCCAATCGTGGGACATCATCTTCATAAGGAAAGCTTTTTCCAAAAGATTCGGGAAGACCATAGTTGTCAGAACTAGACATATACAAGGGAGAAATTCAAGTTAGTTGATTTAAGTCCTTAATATAACACCCAAAATGAAATATTAAGGCTAGGACCCAACACAATATTCTACAATTCGGAAGAGGGATGTGGTAATCCAATTGTAAAATATTTGAAGGTAGATAAATGACGGTTTACCAATTTCCACCATGAAAAAACGAAAAAGAGCATTAGGTTTTAAATGAATTGAAATTCCTAGATTCTTTGAGATTCATTCAACTTTTTCAATGGCATGTTTAATCTCTATTATGCCCTTCAAGTTTGTGATTGGGATGCCGAGGATCACAAACAAGGTGTGAATAACCATGCAAACTAGCTTGGTACTCTGAAAGTCATTTATCACCTAATCAATGTGCCGGTTAACCATAAACACTCCATTGATCTATGACAAACTACAAGCTACCCATTTCCATCCTTCATTAGTCCTAAATTAGTGTGCCGGTTGACCACACATGCTCTACTAACGACTAATAAGGTGCAATGTGCAATTTCATGGGTTAGCATCAAATTCATATTTTTCCTAAAGTAACTAAGATTAGGAATTTATAAAGGTTTAGTTACTTTATAATTCAATATACTTTGAATGAGGGTTTAGTGTCCTATCCTACCCGTTCGGCTAATGACTCTCCACCAGTCAAGGAAGCGGTGGGTGAGAGTGGACACCCATTAAACCACCATTTTATAGGCAGTAACCTTATACCCCCCTTATAGACCGGCTTTGTGAATGAGACCTACTAACGGTAAGACTGACATTTTACTTATACATATATAATATATTAAACTTTTAATTTTATATAATATAAGAGTGTATTTTAAACTTTTAAAATACTAGATGGTTTAATCTATTAATAAATTATACTCTTAATTTAATTAAACTTAAACCATGTTATTATGGAATTATTAATTCTCTTTTAATTAAAGATTTTAATCAATTTAATAAAGTCCATAAGGTGTAATTTGAACTATTCAAATACATCAAGGTTCTAAATATAAAAATTCAAAATTAAAAAAACTATTTAATTAATTTTTAAGTTATGAACCCAAGAGTTGCACCTTTTAATTAAAAGAGTTTTAGAAATTAATGTTTCATAATTTGAGACTTTTCAAATACCAAAACTTGAGGGCCAGTTTTTGTAACTCTTGAAAACTTTTCATTTCCATAACTTATGAGTTTAATTTCATTTTAATAGATAAGATTTTTCATGTTCCATAACTTGAGGACAAGTTATGGAAGCCATTAAAAAACATTTAGATCAATTTTAAAAAATAAAATTATCATATAATCTAGGATTTGATCTAACCAAACTCATAAAGCAAGATAATATCAAATCAACAATTTACAAGTAATTTTGTTTATCATATACACCAACAATTATCTTAAAATTTTGACAATTATCTTTTGATTGGATGAGTATAATTACTACCATATCAGAAAAAACAGATTTTATGATGCAAAACAGTTTGTGGTAGTGATCCCAATCCAATCCAGGCCAAAAATCCCGAAAATCTCCCAACAGACAGTCCGACTCGTCGAGTCAGTTTATGGACTCGGCAAGTCCAATCTGACAGAATGCAATTTTCAGTTTTCCAGCTTTGAACAATTCACAAATGCAACTATATAACAGAAAACTACCCATGACTCTGATACCACTGTTGAGTTTTGTGTACTATAACACTCCTATGGTGCACATACAATCCTAATAGCTTTGGACTAAGTTTACTCTAGTTATACATGCAATAAAATTTCCAAAGCATGAAGGCTACAACTAGCATACAATTTTGACATATAAATCATAAAGTCAAGTTGGAAGAATACCTATTTATTGTAGCTTGTAGTTTTGGTCCCTTCAAGAGCTTAGCACCTCAAGTGTGATGCCTCAAATGGTTCACAAACACCATGAATAAAGGAGGACTTTGAGAGAGAGGCTAGACACTCCAAAATTGGCTATATCTCTTCCTAGAAGACTTAGGGGCCGGTTTTAGGCTAAGGGATAACACATATATAGTGTAGGATTCCAAGGGTCATGTGTGAACCCTAATCCATACACATAGGTTTATGATCCATTACTCATGTGGACTAACTCTTCATGGACTCTTGCATAAACTTAGTCCGTCATGGATCAAAAGCCCAAACCATATGTATCACTAATTTACATAATTAGTCCTCGTTATTTTAATTAGTCTATTTTGATCACTAAATTAATTCCAAATTAATTCTTGATCAATACTAATTAAATATTATGATTTCTTAATTAATATATTATACTTATAATATATTAGTAAATCATAAATAGCCTATTTCTCAAATATCCATCCTATCAGATTGTTCTGGTGAAGGCAACCCAAATGGACCATGCTACTCTTGGGTCAAGTACATACTAATTATAGGTATGGGCTTAGACACTTAATCCAACAAACACCCCCTATGACAGTCTCGTGAAGATGGCCGTGAAGAAATGCATTATTCACATCAAGATGATGAATGGGCCAATGCCTGGAAATAGCCTGACTGAGAACAGTACGGATAGTAGCGGTTTGAAACTGGACTAAAAGTCTCGTCACAATCGACTCCCTGTTGTTGACTGCGACCGTTTGCTACTAATCGCGCTTTATAGAGAGATAAATAACCATCAACATTAAACTTCTGTTTGAATAACCACAAAGATCGAACCACATTGACCCCTGGTGGACGTAGGACAAGGACCCAAGTACCGTTTGTAATAAGAGCATTGTATTCCTCGTTCATTGCTTTATGCCAATTTGGATCTTTCAAGGCCATTATGTGTGACCTAGGGATATATGAGAGAGATGAGGAATGGAGATTGAGGCGATCAATGGGTTTCACAATGCCACTTCTAGACCTGGTGTGCATGTGATGATTCGGAGGGCCTTCATGAGTGGATGGTGGAGGACTAAGAGGTGGGGAAGAAGTTCCATCCTCAGGCAGATGAGGAGAAGAAGGGGTGTTAATGGTATTAGTGGTGGTGGGTGGAACAATTGGAGTAGGAGGAGGGTTTAATATCTGAAGAAGATTGGGAGAGATATCGGAGTTAGATAAAAAATCATAGGAAGGAGGTTCGGTTGGGGTAACCGAGCCGTACGGAAAAATGGACTCGTCAAAGGTGACATGATGAGAGAGAATGATCTTGCGAGAGGATAGATCAAAACAATGGAAAACACGATGAAGAGTGGGGTAGCCAAGGAAAATACAAGGAGTGGAGCGAGATTGGAATTTATGGGTGATGTGAAGACGAGGGAAACACAAGCAACCAAACACACGTAAGTGGTCATAAGTGGGATGGCACCGAAAAAGGCGGTAGTGAGGAGTGTCATTAGAAATGGAGACAGCAGAGAGAATTTGAGTAAGTGGGAAGCCATGTGGAGGGCATCAATCCAGAAAGGAGGAGGAAGACGAGAATGAAAGAGAAGGGTTCGCATCATGTTATTGATAGTGCGAATCATACGTTCAGATCGTCTATTTTGTTGAGATGTGTGAGGACATGAAAAACGAAAGATAATGCCATGAGAGGCAAGGTAATCATGAAAAGATGTATTATTGTACTCCCCCCGTTGTCACATTGCAATTGCTTGATACTACCCCCAAATTGAGTTTGTATTATGTTAGAGAGATGCGAGAATTTTTGAAATACTTCAGATATATGTTTAAGGTGGTAAACCCAAAGGTAATGTGTATAATGATCAAGAAACAAGACATAATATTTCAAACCACCATTACTAAATATAGGAGATGTCCAAACATCAGAATGTATAATCTCAAAGGGTGCAGAAACAGTAGTATCAAATAAAGCAAAGGGAAGTCTAGTGTGTTTGCCAAGTTGACAAGCTTGGCAAGATACATTATTTTTGGTAAATGACAAGAAATAGAACTACTAGAGAATAGATGCTTCAAGACTTGATCGCCGAGATGACCGAGTCGTTGATGCCAAATGGTGGGTGAAGTAGAGATGAAAGCTTGACTAGCGGAGCAGGTTATAGGATAGAGAGGGCCAGAGCTATCACAACGGATGAGAGGACGATGAGTCTAGTAATCAAGAACAGTAAAACCGTAAGGATCAAAATCAATAGAACAATTGTTGTTAGTAGTAAATTTGCGAACAAATATGAGGTTTTTAATAATATTGGGTGTAATAAGGACATTCTGTAAATGGAGGGTACGATAAATATTTGGAATAGGAAAAATGGAGTGTCCCGAGGTCATAACATGTATTGCAGAACCGTTACCGACATAAGTAGAGCGAGGATAATGATTATTAGAGACGGATTTGAGTATACCTGCATTAGCGTGAACATGATCGATTGCTCCTGTGTCCATGACCCAAACACTGTTTCCCGGATCATTTAAAGACATATTGTTGAATAAATTTAGGAGTGATGTGGGTTGATCATTACCAAGCCAGGAACACGGTGGCTGATTTGGGCCAAAATATTGGATATGGGCTTGAGGTGTGGATGGCCTGCTGCCGAGGAGTCCCGGCCCGCTGGAAGTGGGCCTGCTGTAGTTTTGGTTCGGTAAATACGCCGGGTGAGAGGTCTACGGAAGAAATGCCCAATTTTGCTGGTTCGGATCAGATGGGGTCCATATTGAAGGCAAGGGATGGGGCGGAGGAGAATAAACCCACCCAGTTGGGGTATTGTGCGATTTCTGACCAGAAGGAGTTGGACCGGGGGATGCTGCCGACGGTGGTTGTTGTGACCTCCACCGCGATGGGAATTGTTTCCCCGGTAGGATTTGCCCCCTCTTCCATGGGTCGACGACGAAGATGGGCTAGCGACATGGAGCAGTGAAGGGGAAGAGGGGTGATTTTCATGTGATGGAAAAGTAACGCAGTGGCTGTTCAACCTCGATTCTTCAACCAAGAGTATGGATCACATCTCAGAAAACGTGGGCAGAGGTTTGGAGAAGCGGAGGATTCCGGCGACGCTTTCAAACTTGCTGGGGAGACCGTTTAATGCATGAAGTACAACACTACAATCCTTGACTTTTTCACCTAGGCCCTCAAGCATATCGACGATCTTCTTTATCTTCTCACAATAATCGTGAATAGTTAAGTCTCTCAAGGTTATTTTTCTGAGTTCATCTTCTAGTTGCATAGAAACCGACTCTTTATCATCATAAAAAGGGATTGTAGGTTCAAACGAATTTTGCGAGCAGTGGCGTTGATGGAGTAGGCAGAGGTAATAAGCTTTTGTGAGATAGAACCGAAAAGCCATAGTTTCACGAGATTGTCGAGTTCCTTCCAGTCCCAGTCCGTAGGAGGTTTATTGGGGGGGGGGGGGGGGTATGTTTAATCAATATGGTCAGCAACCCCATATGCAATGCAATGTGCATTGAAAAGGTCACTCCAGAGGTCGTAGTTGCAGGTAGAGAGATCGAGGATGAGTGGTACATAGGTTTTAATGTTGGTGATGTCATACGCGTTGTGTGTAGGTTTTGTGGAGGAGCTGCTTTCGGATGACGTGGTGAAGAAGAAAGAAACGGTGAACAGGGGAAGAAGAAGAGGAGAACGTCGAGAGAAGAGTAGGTTGACTTAGGAACAGGATCGGCTAGGATTAGAGGTAAAGCCTGATACCATGATAATCTGTAAAACCCTCTCGTCATACGACTTCAATAATGAGAGTATGAATACATGAGGCTACATGGGCCAAATACGTACAATGGGCAAAACAATACAAGCCTAAATACAACAATACTAAAGTAAATACAAATGTATGAAGAATATATCTCCTAACATATGTCTTAGAAGAAAATCTTAGCATATTATATGTACACTAGGAGCAATGTGTCCATATTATCTTCATACGAATATGCGATCTACAAGGACTCCCAATAGACAGTCATGTCAAGTTTCCTACAAAACAAATACTTGCAATGAACTAGACCGATATGATTCAAGTTTTCACTTGCTTCGGCATTCAAGAATAATTATGGCTTTTGAATATATTGAAGTGCATTTATTTCCTTTTGTTGCTGCCATAAGGACATGATAGGGTTATAAATATTAATTCTAGAAAGAAATAATGCATTCATAAATACTCAGTTTTATAAAACAAAATGTACAAAACAATAAACATATTGAAAAAACATAACATGAAAATACTAAAAAATTAATTAAATTAGAAAGCGACGACTTAATGATCTAATCCGGCAACTCCTATTTGCTCTCAACATTCCCTTTTTCAACTCTTCTCTGCTCTTGAAGAAAACATCAAATATTAGTATTTTATAGTTAGGATAGAAAAATCATAAACCAAACTCTGTAAGACTTTCATCATTTTCATTTTACTTCGTATTTTAACATCCACAAAACCAAACTAATTCAAACCGGAATAATTAACAAACAATTTTATATGATAATAATTTTTGGATCTTTAACGGCGTGGAGCATGTCTATCTCACCTCAGTAAAGGTTCTACTAAATTTAAATGTGTGATAACTTTTGAATAGTCGATTTAATTAATGGAGAAGTAAAAGAAGCAATTATGTATGATTCGAGTCATCGAAAGCGACGACAACCAATGGTACTCCAATACGTATATATCGCTGTTTCTTCAAAGTTTTTGGAGGTTGAATGTTGAGACGTTCGATCAGAAAAAAGGACGGCCTGATTTCCGCAAGAAACCTTTTTGTATCTAACCCAAGATGCATACCAGGTTCATTTTGCACCAATATTTGTCTGGAATAAGTGTATCTAAATAATTTTACCCATCTATATCCAGTTACCGGCCCACGCTACTCCAAAATTCCAATCCAAATTCTCTGACAATGCCCTCTTGGTCGGATCTTCAGCCGGAGATTCTAAACAAGATCGCCGGAAAGTTCGAGTTTTATGAAGATTTCATCAACTTTCTTTGTGTTTGTAGTTCATGGAGATCTTCTGCCACGACAACCAAAAAGTTCATACACCACCTTCCTTCTCGCTTTCCATTGTTGATGCTTGCAGAGTCCAACACCGAAGAAGACAATGATCAAGATTACCGTAAGTTCTTTCTTCTTTCAAGCGGCACGATGCGTAAGGTGCAACTACCTGAGGCTCACTGGCAGCGATGTATATCAACCCATGGATGGTTACTGACCACCGGTGAAGAAGAGTTCTACGCCAAGCTCATCCATCCACTTTCTCGTACTCAAATCGATCTCCCTGAGCTTTATATGTTCGAGGAACTCTACTTTGATCAAGACGAGTGGATGTACTATGGGCACTGCATGAGGAAAGTAGTTTTTACGTCATCAAACCCTTTGTTATTGGATCCTGACTTTCGTGTTATTATCATCTGGGGCCAAACTATAGGGTTTTGTAGGCTTGGTGACGTTTCATGGAGCCGTATAACTGGTTGGGATGGACATCTTCTCGACATTACGTATCATAACATGCGAAAACGGCTATACACAGTGACAACCATCGGATCAATCTACGAAGGTAACATTCTTATCGGTGGACCAGGTCCTCTAAATTTGAATCGATTGTCAACATTACCACCAAAAGAATTCGACTGTTCGTGCCTCCAATCAGCTTATCTTCTCGAATGGGGTTATAACAGGTTGCTAATGGTTACACGTGAGCGTCAGTCTTACAAGAAACATGGTGATGAGTTTCGTAGTTATGGACCTTATAGCACTACGAGGTTTCAATGCTTTGTGTTCAGTTTGGATGATGGAAAGTGGTCCAAACTCCTCAGTTTGGGAGACAAAGCTGTGTTTTTGGGTTTCAATTCATCATTTGCCATTGATGCAGGTGGTGGCATAAAGCCTGATTGTATCTACTTCACTGACGATCTTTATGAGCCATACCGTGACTTTCCTGATGGAGGTGGAGGGGATGTTGGAGTTTATCTTATGTCCGACGGTAGCATTGGAGCCATTATGGATGCACAAGAACACATGTTCCGTGCTCGTCCTCCTTTGTGGCTTCAAACGAGCACCATCCCTGCGATTAAACAAATTTAAATGTCTTACATGGCTTTAAATCTGTTGGTTTAAACTTCTTAAACAATAATGGTTTACTCTCTTTAATTTGCTGTTATGGATTAGGAACACAGCAGGAAGAAAGCAAAAAAAACAAGAAGGAAAAGTGACAGCAAGAAAACGTGCAAAACAATATAAGAAGAAGCAAGGAGAATTTTCTGCTACTTTATTCTCAAGTTCATCATCAAAAAGAAAACAAAATAATATACCTATTTATAGGAAACTAAAAACGTGAGCTGCTACCTAAAGTCTAAACTTCTTGACCAAGAAAAAGCATCCTAATTTGGCTATATTACAAACTTTCCATAATTAAATTAAAGTCTCCTAAATGTCCTTCTAGGCTTCCGGATTACTCCTAACATTCTCCCCTTAATCCGGAATCTTCACGTCTTTTACTCCAAGCAACTTTCGCATTGCTTCAAACTTCACTTTGTTCATAGGCTTGGTCAAGATGTCAGCTTTCTGCTCATTAGTATTCACATGCTTTACTATAACATTGTCTCTTTCTATATGATCACGAATGAAGTGATATCTTGTATCAATATGTTTACTTCTTCCATGAAAGACTGGATTTTTCATCAAATCCAAAGCTGACTTGTTATCCACATTCAATTCAAATGGACCAAGTTTTCTTCCGGTCAACACACCAAGCAACCTACTTATCCAAATGCCTTGACATGTTGCATTATTAGCTGCCATAAATTCTGCTTCACATGATGACAATGCAACACACTTTTGCTTTTGTGAACTCCAAGTAACAAGATTGTTGTCTAAGTAAAACGCCATTCCACTTGTACTTTTTCTATCTTCAACATCTCTTGCTAGATCACTATCAGTGTATCCAATCACGCAATTTTTTCCACCTTTCGTATATGATAAACCATAGTCCACAGTTCCTTTTACATACCTTAGTATGTGCTTCACAGCTACTTGATGTTGCTTGGTTGGTTTCTCCATGAAACGACTCACAATGCCTACAGAATAAGCTATGTCGGGTCGTGTGTGAGTAAGATATCTTAGCCCTCCTATGATGCTTCGATATGAGGTAGGGTCCACGAGTTCACCTTCTTCATCCTTAATCAATTGTAGCTTTGACTCCATGGGGTACCTGCAAGGATTACAATCAAACATCCCGGCCTTCTTTAGGATGGTGTTAGCATAATTCGTTTGTCTCAATGTGAGACCATTTTTATGTTGATTAACCTCGATGCCTAAATAGTAAGTTAGCATCCCAAGGTCACTCATTTCAAACTCTTTACTCATTTGTTGTTTGAACTTGATTATCTCATCCTTGTGACTTCCGGTGACAATTAGATCATCAACATAGACACCAATTATTAGTATGTTCCCCTTGTTTTTCTTTGTGTAAACTGCATACTCTTGTGGACACCTTTCAAACCCATCTCTTTCATGCATTGGTTTAAGCGAAAATTCCAAGCTCGTGGAGCTTGGCGCAAACCATACAAAGCTTTTGCTAATTTGTACACCATTTTTGGTTTATCTTTCTTCACAAATCCCTCCGGTTGTGTCACATAAACTTCTTCTTCTAGATTACCATTTAAGAAAGCTGATTTTACATCAAGGTGATGTATGTTCCATCCATTTGAAGCAGCAAGAGCAAGTATGATTCGAATGGTTTCCAAACGAGCAACCGGTGCGAACACTTCATCAAAATCTATGCCTTGTTTTTGTACGTAGCCTTTAGCGACTAGCCTTGCTTTATATTTTAATATTTTTCCATTCGGGTCTCGTTTGATCTTGTACACCCACTTTAAGCCAATGGGTCTTCTATCATTTGGCAACTCAACTAAACTCCATGTTTTATTTTTCTCAATTGCACTTAACTCACTTTTCATAGCTTCCATCCATTCTTCACTTTCACTTGCACTTGAGAAATTTACCGGTTCTTCTTCGTCTTTTAAAAACATAAGTTCATCACTTTCTTCGTAAATATCGGCCAAACTACGATATCTTTGTGGAGCTTCACTTTCGGATGAACTATCAAGTGATGATTGAGGTGTAACCGGGCTATCGTGTGGTGTATATTCTTCATTAAAATCTGGATGGATATCTTCTTCCTGTTCAGCTTCAATATCAAGCATGATATCAAAGGTGAATGTTCCATTTGTCATGGCTTTGAACTTTGTTGTAGGTCCCTACTCCCACTTAGCATCTTCTTCGAAAATTACATCTCTTCCCACTCGAATTGCTCCGGTTTCCGGATCAAGTAGCCGATAACCTTTTGTACCTTTTTCAACTCCCAAGTGTACTAGCTTCTTACTTCTATCATCTAGTTTTTTTAGATGTGTGCCGACTATTTTTGCATAAGCAACACACCCAAAAACTCTCATATGATCAATGTTTGGCTTTCGACCGGTCCATAGCTCGTAAGGTGTTGACTCTTTTAAGGCTTTTGTGGTTATACGATTTAGGATGTAGACTGAGTGACTTACGGCTTCACCCCATAGGACTTCTGGAACATTCATCCCTTTTAGATTGCTTCTCGCCATCTCTACTACTGTTCGGTTGCGTCTTTCTACAACACCGTTTTGTTGAGGGGAATATGGTGTTGTATAGTGGCGTTTCAACCCGGTTTCTTCACAATATGTAGTGAATTGTGTTGATAAAAATTCACCACCCCGGTCGGTTCGAAATTTTTTAATTTTAAACCCGTTTCAACTTCAACTTGTGCTCTAAATTTCTTAAAAGCAATTAAAGCGTCATCCTTGTTTTTCAACATATAAACCCACATAACTCGTGTATAGTCATCGACAAGTAACATAAAATATCTATTTCCAGCTGGTGTTGGTGGTGTGATCGGACCACAAAGATCTCCATGCACGAGTTCTAGTCGTTCTTTAGCTCTAAATTTGGTGTGCTTTGGATAGGATTTTCGAGCTTGCTTGGAGATTAAGCAAGCTTCACACAAGCTTGTAGGAATTTCAATTCTGGGTAAGCCTTCCACCATACTTGTATCAGCCATGTGTTTTAGTGCATTGAAGTTAACATGTCCAAACCGCTTGTGCCATAGCCAAGATGCCTCGCCTTGTTCTGCAAGTAAGCACTTTGAAACTTCTTCTTCAAGTATGGCCTTGTACAAACGATTGCTTGATTGTTGAACCTTCAATAATAGTTTTCCTTGTGGATCATGAATCCATAAATATAATCCAAGCATCACAATCCGATCTCCATGTTGAGCTAATTGTCCCAAACTAATAATGTTGCTACATAACCTTGGTATATAGTATACCTCTTTCAACAATCTACTTTCACCATTCTTGCATTTGAACATGATTGAACCCTTCCCCTCTATTCGAACTCTAGATCCCTCACCAAATTTCACATAACCTCTAGTAGACAGATCAAGTGTTCGGAATTTGCTTTTTTCGCCAGTCATGTGGTTGCTTGCTCTATTGTCGAGATACCACACTTTTGATTGGGTTGGAGTTTGTTCACTTGATCTTAGCTTGGGATTAACTTTTTCCTCATTCAAGTAAACTTCATCGTTTACTTGGGCTGCAAGCAGAAGTGTCGGCTCATGATCATTCTGTCCTTGAGTTAGGTTAGCTTCATGATTCCTCTCACGACGTGGGTTCTTACACTCAGCAGCGTAATGACCAAACTCTTGACAATTATAACATTGAACTTTAGATTTGTCACGAGGTTGATATGATTCATTCTTTCCTTTGTTTTGTTGATTACCACCACCTCGTCCTTTGTTGGAGTTGTTGTAACCACCTTTTCCTTGTCCTCGTCCTTTTCCACCTCGATTATTGTTATAATTGTTTTTGCGTTGTTTTGAACGATCTTCATTATTTTTCTTCTTTGCTCGTTCCGTCCACTCTTCATGCGTTAACAATAGCTTCTTCTCCTCGGGTTCTTTATGAGCCCCGATACGAATCTCATGAGCTTTTAATCTTCCGACCACCTCTTCAAACGTCATCTCGTCTAGATCTCCAAATTGTTCAATTGTTGATGCAAGTTGAACAAATTTGGAAGGCACGGCTCGTAACAACTTTTTTACTATGTAGGATTCTTGAACGGTTTCACCAAGAGCACGAATATTGCTCACAATACCTCCAAGTTTTGCAGAAAAATCGTCCACAGTCTCTGATTCACTCATGTTCATCATCTCAAATTCAGCTTTGAGAGTTTGAACTTTGGCTGTTTTGACTCGATCTGCTCCCAAGTACATCGTCTTGAGTGTTTCCCAAGCTTCCTTTGTCGTTTGCTTCCCCGCAATCGTCAATAGAACCTCCTCTGGAATTGCTTGGTAGATGGCAGCCATCGCCATCTTGTCTCTCTTTACACCCACCGGATTTTGTGGGTTCTTCGGCTCTATGGCTTCCCACACCTCTTGAGCTTGCATATAAATCTTCATCTTTATCGACCATGCTGCGTAATTCGTCTTAGACAGCATTGGGTATTGAAGAGTAACCGATCCTTCTTTGTTCGACATCGCACCAGATTCGCTCTGATACCAAATGTTGGTTTAAACTTCTTAAACAATAATGGTTTACTCTCTTTAATTTGCTGTTATGGATTAGGAACACAGCAGGAAGAAAGCAAAAAAAACAAGAAGGAAAAGTGACAGCAAGAAAACGTGCAAAACAATATAAGAAGAAGCAAGGAGAATTTTCTTCTACTTTATTCTCAAGTTCATCATCAAAAAGAAAACAAAATAATATACCTATTTATAGGAAACTAAAAACGTGAGCTGCTACCTAAAGTCTAAACTTCTTGACCAAGAAAAAGCATCCTAATTTGGCTATATTACAAACTTTCCATGATTAAATTAAAGTCTCCTAAATGTCCTTCTAAGCTTCCGGATTACTCCTAACAAAATCTAGATATATGTTTGCATGTGTATTGTATGCTCAAGAACTAGAGAAATAACTGCTTTATAAAATTATCATATCCACATATTTTTAAGAGAAAATAACAAAATTAGTCCTATCTTAGTCTTATAAATACATCTAACA